TTATTTCTAAATGGTACAAACAAGTCACAAATAACAGAAATCCCAGTGAACCAGCATTGGAGTCTGAGTAAGATCTAATCAGAGTAACAGTTTAACTCATGCTTGTTTCTGCACTTAACATTCCCTGAGTGGTCACTGTGAGCAAGCACCGCACCTCCTGCGTGACAGGAGTCATCCTGTTTCATCCTCACCCCCAACCACCCCTCACGGGGACACCATTACAGCTGAGGAAATACTGAGGACATGCAGTATGGGTCACCGTCCCCTGAAAACAATGACCAAATGAAACAAATATACTAAGTTCCAGGTTATAAAGCACCCAGGACAAACAGACCCCAAATTTTACATCTCAACCAACAGTATTGCAACCTCCAAATCTTGACTTTTCTAAAAGTGTCAAAAATCAAACAAACAGTGCCCCCTCCTTCATTATTCCATGCTATTCTTCACCACTCTCACCCCCTCTATTTTGTAAGTTACTTTTCTCTCCCCAGTTTTATTTATACTTCTCATTTCACAGTATTTTTCTCATTGCAATCCCCTCCCAAATACCTATGAGAACACCCTAGGCTTTTATTTGCCTTCGTTGGATGCTGGAGACCAGCCCCAGCTACAAGTCCTGTCAGGGATCTCAGAAAGGAGAGGATGGAGTCGGTGAAAGTTCCTTTTTCTCTTTCTCTCAGAGGGCTGAGGGGAAGTGGAGTGAGGTAGGAGTGAGGAAAACACAGATACCTTATTTCGTGCAAGTATCTCCTGCTGAGGGTCTCAGCGGGTCTTTATTTATACCTTAAGGCGAGAGTGGGATTATGTCAGTGTAAGCATTGAGGCAGAACAGAAACAATCAATACATATTTTCTCATGAACATGCAAAGACTCCCTAGGTCTCACACCTAAAGGGCAATTCTCTGGTAACCTTAAGAACAATTAGATTCCTAGGTATAGCTCATTTACTAACATGATCGATCATATATGACAGCACAACATTTGTCAGCAATTAAACTTTCCCAGTTACAAAGTGGGTGTAAAATTCCTATTCTATATTCAATTACTAAGATCAATCTATCTCCTAGCACTCAATTAACTTGGTTAATATATTGATTACTTCAAAGTGGTCTGAAACAACTCATCAAATTTAAGTAAGTTCTACTGAAGTCTAACTCCTAACTAGAAATTCCTAACCTCCACACGGCCTGCGAACTACTGACCTTTTGCAAACACCAGGAAATGTACTGCTGGTGCAAACATGCACCCTCCCACCCCCTACCCCCCTCACCCCCCACCCCGTCAGGCTATGGCTTCCAAGCACAGTTGGTTCAGGGCAGCTTGTTCTCCATAGTTCTCAGAGCCAGAACATTTCTTTCCTAGCTATACTTTTTGCATTATTTCCTTTCTTTGATACTAGTTCAGGTGCAAGAATAACAAATCAATTGTCTAGGTCCGAATTGAGTTTTCATATGCCAATTAATGACTAACTAACTTCTGCATTAACCAAGAACAAAGAGGTGAGCTTTAGCAGGCTTTGCCATGGAGACTCCCTAGTTCAGATCTTCTTGGGGAGTGCAAGAACTCCCCTCTTCTGGGAACTACAACTTTCCCTCTTCCGGGGAGCACAGGAACTCCCCGCTTCTCGGGAGTCTCCCCCAATGCCCGGACCATGTCAAGAGACAGCATGGGAGGTGCAGCCTGCCGCAGTTGGAATTTCCTCTTCAAGGACATTTTGGACTTCATCTGGGGCTGTGGGCAACTTGACAGTTAACTTGAATGTTCCTTGTCCAGGCCATACTAACTCATGGTTGTCTCTCTTCAGGACTCTCTGTCGAACTGAAACTTAAAAAATTTAAAAGCCAGTGGTCAAGCAATCTTCATTCATAAAATTATCCCATGATTTCCATGGATTTCATCATCATAAATCAATGGCTCGGTCATTTCCCGAGAGAGGTCTTGAGCAGCAAAAAGAGAAATATTTAGCAAGCAAACACAGATTTCAATTCCATCTTTAAAGTTATCATTTTTAACTGTGAGCATCTTTCTTAATAAAAATACAAAGTTTGTCTTCCTGTCTAACTGTAAGTAGTTAATGAAGATTGTTTTGCATGTGTGTTCAGTGCATAAATGAAAGAAATATAATAAAGAACTTAGTACATTACCTGAGGTTATTTGGTACCCAAAAAGATAGCAGTATTTATTCTACAGTGAAGAACTAAGTATTTCTCATGCTGAGCCAGTAGATTGGGGTTGGGACACGATGTGATGGAGGCCACAATTTGGGAAAGTGGCCATGGGTACAATGTCCAACAGCCTAGAGTTGTGTCAATCACCCGCGATAGTAAGGGACTCACATCTGAGAGTAAAAGGAGTAGAAAAGAAGAGATGGGGGGGGGGGATTTCACGAAAGGAAAAAAGAATGAGCACATCTGGGCTGCAGCGAACAAACTGACCAGTGGATAGGAGAGTACAAAAGCCTGCATCTGAATTCCAACTCTGCCATGAACTTGCTGAGTGACACTGAGAAAAGATCAAAACTTCTCTAGAATTTGTTCCCTCACGTAAGGAGGTGTTTCTGACCTATTCTGTTACACCCACAAGAGAGATGCGAGTGTAAGTCAGAGAGAGAAGAAAGGGAAATCAGTGTATCTCAGACAGTGGAAAGAGGGAGCAGGTAAGCCTGGAAACAGAGGTGAGACCAGCATAGTCACGTGGCTAAGGAGGTCAGGGTGAAGGGAGCCAGTGAGGGTGCCCTTCTGATTCACAGGTGCAGCTCTGCCCTGAGTGTGAGGTCACCAGATTATATTGTGAAATGGTGACCTGATGGGGCCAAAGACATACACACGAATCTTTCAAGAGGGCCTTGAACAGTTTTCTCATCTCAACTATCCACAAAGGGGTGGAAGAAGGGAAGCCTTCACCAACCGCATGCCAACTCAGAATCTGGTCCAGAAACAATGAGAAAAAATGCCAGACTCCTGTTTCACTCTTCATGAGCGAGTGGTTGCTTCACCTTGGACTTCTGAGGAGCTGTCCTAAGTTAGAATGAAGATTGAGGGCTAGATAAGACCCCAAAGCCTACGAGCAAGCTGAGGTGGTGTTTATTGAAACAGCCTCCTGACCTAGTGCCTGACGAAGACAGCTAAGGCTGAGGAAGAAATTTGTCTGTTAGTAACCTACCAACAGTATTGTTTTTTAAGCCCAGTTGTCTAGAGTCATGAACTCTGTGCTACATTCCTTCTATGATTCTCTAGACTTTGACAGAGTCAAAGTCCTGTCTGGGCATCTGAATGTGCCAGCCAGTTCTGAGCAACACGAAGTGTCTCCTGGGTCCCTCGCAGATCTTGAATTCTCTGCCTCCCGACCTCTTAGAGCTCTGGAAGTACAGCTGCACTTGGTGCTCAAGTTCTTCAGGGGATTTCGGCCCCAACACCCTTCTACCAGCAGAGGAAAGAATCTGGCTGCAGCCATCTTCGGCTCTGGTCCATCTGCCTGGACTGTCTCTTTCACTTTCATTTTCTTTAAAACTCCGCCCTGCCCTTAGTTTCTGTTTTTGGCTCTAAATAGCGGCCCCATGACTTCACCTGTATCTCTGCCATGCGGCAGTGGCTGCCCACCACCACCTGAGGCTTCTGACCTCCCCAACTGTGTACAGGATCTCTGCTACTCACCCAGGACACCAGCTGCAGTCAACAGCTTTGGGTCACTACACCTTGCACAAACACAGAGACTTCATTTTGCTGCACGCCAATACTGTGCAAGAATAGTAAATGGCCCATCCCAGTGTGACTTTGCAATATTTTCTTTTTCCTTCTGGCTTATTCATTGAACATAATCCCTTCCAGTTCCATCCATGTTGCTGTGAATGGCATGAGCTTATCTTTTTAACTGCTGTATAGTATTCCATTGTGTGTATGTATACCACGATTTTTTCATCTAATTATCTGTTTGGGGGCATTTAGGTTGGTCCATGTCTTACCTACTGTGAATAGTGTTACAATAAGCATAGGAGTGCAGATTTCCTTTCAAATTAATGTTTTTGTGACCTTTGGGTAATTCTTAAGCATATGGTAGCTCCATTTTTAGTAGTCTGATGGTCCTCCACACAACTTTCCATAGTGATTAGAACATTTTGTTTTCCCATCAGCAGTGTAAGAGGGATCATTTCTACCTACATCCTTGCCAGCATTTGTTGTTGCCAGTTTTTTTAATATGGGTCATCATCACTGGTGTGAGGTGGTATCTAATTGTGGTTTAGATTTGAAAATTTCCCTGATTATAAGAGATGAGCATTTTCCATATACCTGTTGGCCATCTGCATTTCCTTTAGCCATACAGAAACTTTCTAGTTTGATATAATCTTAGCTGTTTATCTTTTCCCTCACTTTCTTTGCTTTGGGTGATGAGTCTTTAAAGATGTTTCTGAGGTATGTGTCATGGAGTGTTTTGCCTATGTTTTCTTCTATATGTTTATAAAATGTATTTCTTAGTGTAGGTTGGAGTTTGAATCCATTCTGAGACAAAGCATTGAATTTGGAAAGAGGCAATAAGTCTTTGACATGCAGAGTCTTAGGAAGAGAGTTAAAACATGATTATGAATATATTCTAAGTGTAAATTGATGATGGGGCATAATTTCATATTATAAAGATAGCGATTAAGGCACAGCAAGAGATTCTTGGCTACCTGCCAAGCAGGTGCATGAGTAAGGGAGATGGAGAAAGGAGCATTTCAGACTGCAGTTCTCAGGTGGGCATGCCTGAGGGAGTGAAATTAATTATGAAACAAGTGCATTGCCCCACCAGACGTCAGAGAGATTCAAGATACTGCTCAGTGTCACAACCTGAAATCACAGGCATCAGCAGGGCCACCCTATCTAGCAGACAAGGTGGCTGTTTTATTTAAGGGTATGTAAGAATTTTTTGTCATTTTAAAATAGCCCAGCATTGATTAGTCATATCGATATGGTTGCAAAGTATAATTTTTAATTTTTTAAAAAGATTTTATTTATTTTTATGTATGAGAACTGGGGTACAAGCCAGAGGTGTATGGCGTAAGAGGATTCAACAGTGACGCAGTGGGGAGAACAGGCAGATCTACTGAAATACAGTGCTGAAATGGGCAGCAGGCAAGACAGGAAAGGTCTGCTGGGCCATGTGGGTCACCTCCCTGGCCAGCCAGGGAATCGAACTCAAACTCATGCTTCAGAGGCTGGCAATAGCTTGATAGCGCTGTCTTTAACCCCTGCACCACCAGGTAGCTCCCTCTCCATTTTATTTTTTTCTCATTGTCAATCAGTTCAGATGAGAAAGTATCAGGGAAGCCACCTAAGCAGTTAGGGGTCTTTGCAAACCACTTACAAGACAAACAGTGACAGCAAGAAACATTTCAAGATGTCTGTGTTAATGCAGAAGCAACTGTGGCGCCTTCAATCTCCTTGACTTGAAGTGCAGGCATCACCCCAGAGCCCAGGAAAGACACCTTCATCCTCCTGCAGACTTCTACCTTCTGAGTGCACTGTGCACTGACTCCCTGTGGCACTGCTCCGCCTCTTGGCCCACGTTGCTGCCAATGAAGACAATCTCAATGGAAACGAAAGACAGAAGGAAGTGAGTAGGAAATGAGTAAGTTGTTAAGAGAAAACAAATGGCTATAGCTTTTTTTTTTTACAATTAGATAGATAAGGATGTGTAATGTCTTCCACAAAAGAAGCTCAGATGCTATTTGCTAAAAGTAATGAGGAACTCTGGGTAAGCCTGGTAGTCACAAAATACCACATATATCTCGGGATTTGACTTATCTATGACAGTGTCATACAGGTCAGTAGGATTATTGCTGTCCTTGGGAGGAGGTGCTTTTAATAACTCTTTTCCAGGTGTGCTGAGTCCGGTTAGCACTCGCACATAATACATATACTTTTTCCCATTTCTGTCTGGTTTGGAGTATGTGTCATCGGCAGAAAAACCTGCATTGACAGCAAAATAGGTTCCTTTTCCATATAACACTGTGAAGAGAAAACAAAACATTTTTAAGGATTCCAATTTAGCCTATAAATTGATGTGTTGATATGTCAAATAATCTTAAAATAATGTGTAGCTCTTCTATTTAAAAACCTCTTAATATTTTTGCTTATGTTTCTAATTTTTTAAATCATTCTTCCATCCCAAACATCATTGGTGCCCTTTAGTAAGTCTGATCCTGAAACTTTGGTGGCACCAGGGTCACAGCCACAAGGGAACACCAAGTAACTCTCATGCCCAACACCTCAGTTGGAGTACCAGATGTTGTGCCTCCTTACCGTACTCCCCAGCATAACTGCGGTTAAAGCCGTTGCGGTTGATATGTGGCACTGACTTTTCATCTGTCCCATGGAAGAGCCACTTCTCGTTGCTGTCACGGTTTTTCTTGCCATCCATGTTTTGCTTCTTTGTCTGATAGCTATTCCAGAGGTCTGGATTCTGGATTCTCTGAATCTGAAAATGAATCAGGAAAAGTATTCTACTAACATCAAGAACACTCAGCAAGATACAACTAATGAAATACAACCACTACTTTAAGATTTATTTATTTATTTTGCATACAAGAACCAGGGTACAGGCCAGAGGTATGGGGGGCGAGCGAATTCACCAGAGACAGAATGGGGAACAGAACAGGCTGACTGACTGAAGTACACTGCTGAGGGAAGCAGTGGGCGAGTCAGAAGAGGTCTGCTGTGCCATGTGGGTTGCTCCCTGGCCGGCCAGGGATCGAACTCAGGCTGCAGTGGCTGTGGATAGCTTTGTAGTTTGCGTCTTAACACCTTGTGCTACCAGGGAGGCCCCAACCACTATTTTTCATAAACAAAAATTACAATAATCAGCAAATACAATGTCAGGTGGCAACACTGTGCATTCACAAATCTTGTTGGATCCAGTGTTTCAAAAAAATATCTTGGAAGGTTGCTGATTTTATTTTGAACACCCTTCATGCACCACAGGAGAGTGAGCAGTGATTAGGGTCTTGCTGTTGATCATTTGAATTTGGCCAACCAAGTCTCCCCAGATCCTGCTTTTGACCTACACTCTCTTCACTGCTCCCGCAGCTGTCCACCTCACACTGTCGCTCTCCATCTCCCCTCTTTTCTCTTTCTGAGAATCTGGCTTACCTACCTATGCTGGAACAGAGTGAGAATCACTAGAAAGAAGATAAGAAGGAAAATTAATGGATGTAAATCCATCTCTGGCCAGTTGGAAGAGGGAGCATGAATCTTGGTGGGAAGGGGTTGGTTTCAGATCAACGTGGCTGTGCTTTGACCGGATTCTGGAATGTGGCCTCTAGGGCTGGAGACTTGCATCCACTGAGAAGAACCAGACAATTAAAAAAACTGGCTTGAGGAGGCAGGTCTTTAAAAAATCTAGACAATACAGAACCAGAAGTGATACTTTAAAACAATAATATCATAAAAAATAATTTTCAGAAATGCAGGAGTATTGTGTAGAATAGAAGAGACATACATATTGACCAATGTAGTTTGTAACCAGATATGAGTGGGGTAAGCCAAAACACAAGAATTCTGTCTTGAACAACTGGGGAAATATGAACATGAATTCTATACTATATATTAATGAATTGACATTAATGTATAATGAAATAATGGTAGCGTTATTTAAAAGATAACACTTTGTTTCTACAAGACATGTGCTAAAATATTTAGGTGTATCATAATGACCACAACTTTACATTGAAGCACTTCATCAAAAACTGAATGAGGGAGAAAAATAAATGTGTCTGAAGTATTGAACTAAGGTGAAAGTTTTTGAATGTTCAAAATCTTAGTCCCAGTTCTAACAGTCATGGATGATGACAAATCACCTATTTTCATGCCAATGTTTTCATTCCACTAGGGATCTCAACAGAGGTGTCTTAAGTACATCTTACTTTGCTTTGATTAGTGTCATACACTGAGATTTCACATAAAATTTCATTTGGAAAAAGACTTCCATTTTTAAAGGTAGGGAAATCATTTCTCTGGTCAAGGTGGCCAACACATGGCAAGTGTCCAGGGCCCGCTGCAGACATTGCTGGTCAGGAAGTCCTGACCGCTGTGAACCTCACATCTCAACACCGCATGTCTACCAGATGACTATGATTAGTATTTAAGTGAAATTTATTTGTTACCTCAGAAGCAAGAAATCAAAGAGCTTCATACCTGAATCATATTGTATTAGTTCTTCAGAGAATTGATTTGCTCAACCGGATTAAATTGAAATTTTTTTAAAAAGTGATAATAAATTTTGTATTGAATTTATCATGAGGATGATTTTGATGATACCCTCCAGTATTTGATCACAGGAGAAATCCATTGGTAACAAGTCTCAGTGTTGTGAAAGTTCTGTGTCTCTGGTTCAAATGGTTTGTTTTTTGACTTGTGGACATTATGAATCTTGTAATTGGGTGTTCCTTTGTGTTTTCCTAATAGGAAGCTGAGGCAAATTTGGGTCCTACTCTCATAACTACCTAGGATCTCATGTTATGTATTTATGTGAACTAACACTACTTCTGTATTGTCTTATTTTTTCTGTCCTCCTCCTCTTTTTGTACATTTTTTTCATTATTTATCTGAAACTATGACATATATCCTTACAGGATACTTCAAATATTTGTTGAACTAGTATATGTGTAACTACATAAATAAATAAATAGAGAGGTGGAAGTGCAATCAGAGAGTAAGAGGCAATCTGCAAAGAAACAAAATACAGGATTTATTGGCAAGTTTATTTTTGTGGATGAAGGTATTCGAAGATTTAACTTGAATCAAAAACTCATGGACCAAAAGGCAGAAAAGGGAAGGAGAAAGATAATACTCAGAGATGGTAAATTAGTTTTAAGGAAATTGATTTAACAAATGGATATTTAAGTGGAGATATTTTATATCACTAGGATTATGTTTGAGACCTTGAATCAGAGATCAGGGTTGGTGATACTGACTTGGGCGCTATCAACATTGAAGTAATAGCTGAAGCTAAGAAGGGTAAAACATTTGATTCATTACTAATGTCATTACAAAAGAAAAAAGAAAAAGCATTCCTCAGTGAAGTACAGAGACAGAAGTACAAAATCCTATGTGTAAAACTAGGACTAGAGGTTTGGAGGATAAACAGATGTCACTGACAATGAAAGGAAAATTAGTTAAAGAAGGAAAAGAAAGCTTAAAATTAATATCATTACAGAAGTCCAGGGAGAATCAGTTTCAAATAATAATATTAATGCTTAAAAATGGGAACTGCCCGCTATTTACAATAGGTAAAATCCGGAAACAACCCACATGCCCAAAAATAGATGACTGGATCAAGAAGATGTGGCATATACACACAATGGAATATTATTCAGCAATCAAAAAAGATAAACTCATGCCATTCACAACAACATGGATGGAACTAGAAGGAATTATGCTCAGTGAAATAAGCCAGGAGGAAAGAGAAAAATATCCAAGACTTCACTTATAGCAGGAATATAGGGAAATGAAATAAGACATCAGTGTAAAAAAAATAATAACAGTACAAAACACAACAAAGCAAAAACGGACAATTACAAATCAGAGACAAACTGCAGGGGAGGAGGAGGGAGAGGGATCAGAGGGAAGGAGAGAGGAGCACAGGGGACTGAGGTGATGATGCACGGGTGCATTGGTGAAGGAAACCCTATGGGGACTAAATCTGAGGGGGTGGGGGGAAGCAAATATTGTTTAAAAATGAAAAATTATGTAAAAAAATTTAAAAATTGGGCCTCCCTGGTGATGCAAGGGGTTAAGCACCACACTATGAAGCTGTCCGCAGTCTCTACAGCACGAGTTCGATCCCTGGCCAGAGAGAGGCCCACATGGCGCAGCAGACCTCTCCTACATTGCCTGCTGCTCCCCTCAGCAGTGTGTTTCAGTCAGTCTGCCTGTTCTGTTCCCCGCTGTCTCTGGTGAAATCTCTCACCCTCCGCATCTCTGGCCTGTATCCCAGTTCATGTATGCACAAATAAATAAAAAAAATCTTTAAAAAAACTAAAAATTAATAAAAAATTAAAAAAAATAGGAACTGTGAAAATAAATGAGATGAACAAAGAAAGGGCTGTCAAAATTTCCTAAGGAAGTGGGCACTGTTGCTCTGTGGATGGTGGGCAGAAGCAGCTAAGAGTGTCTGAGGAGCCCCTGTCTGTTTATGGTGTTTGCTAAGGTACCAAACCCAACATTGAAACCTTGGAATATTTATACTTGCTTCACAAAGTAAATAAGGGTCTTTAGTATTCTGATATGATATTGTAATCTAATATTGTATTAAATGACACACACAAAAGAACTCAATCCTCACATCTCAGTAATAAAGGTGACATAAGCTGAATCTTAGAATCCAAAATGTAACACTAAATATCTAATTGTGGGTAAAAAAAATGATAGGTAGTGAATGAAAATGCATTTATGTAAGAACACAATACCACTTATTTCCACCACTAAGAAACCCCATGTCAGCAGAAGACTTACCTTCTCTATCTTGAATTTTGCGCAGGTCCGATTAAACTTTCCTGCCACAAATTTATAATCTTCATCATCAGGCTGTAGATCAACCACAAGGAAATCTTGCTGCTTCATGTCAGCCCAGTCTCCAGGGATCTCAACTGCAAAGTAGACAATTGAGTTCTACCTCAGCGGGAAAGATCCTCCACATAGTCCATGTTCATGGTATGCTCTGAAAATCTGAGTGCTCTCTGTGTTCTTGTTCACAATCTCCTAATTCACTGTGTTCACAGGTCTTCCTTATCTTTCTGGAATGTTTTTTAGAATGTGGACCAAAGCCAAACTACATATGAGGCAACCATAATTTTATTTTTTAAAAAGACAATAAGCTCACAGATATGCTGCATGAAAGTTTCTGGAATGGGTCTGGAACCCATGTAGATACATATCATGACAAATTTTGATCACGTGCAGATTTGAGAACTATCAGTGTACGATAACCCAGCTGCAGAGCCTGTTCAGTCTTTAGCCCATCATACATATTGTAGTAATTTAACAATAAATTATTCCTATAATGTCAAACAGTCACTACGTCTTCTTTCCAATTATGGGGAGTCTGGTCATGGGGCCTCCACATCTGCTCTTTCATTCTTCACAGTGTCATAAGTTGGGGGGGGTGCGGGTTTTATATGTGCTGGGTGTGCTGACAGCTCTCTCCCCATCTCCTGCTAAATAAAAGGCCACACCAGGAGTTCCAGTGTGTACTTACAGAGCATTTATATGACACTTATATAGGCAAAATGCCACACCTGACTTGTCATTTCCCTAGGGCTGCTGAGAGCCTCAGGAATTTGTTTACATTGATCTCACAAGAAGGAAGTTAGATACTGAAGCCAGTTTATTAGTTTTCCGTGTGGGTCTTATGTGGGTCAAAGGCAGGAAGGGCTGCCCCCACGAGAGAAGCAATCGCTTCTCAGGAAGCAGGTGCAGGCAGAGAATCTGAATTGGCTTTCTGATGTGTCAAGAATCCTTATGTTCAGCTTAGAGGAGGAAGTGACTTGGGAGAAGCCAAGCTCCCCATCCTTCCCTGCTTCTTAGTTACAGACACACAGTACCCACTCTGACCAGGCTGTCTTCCCCTTCGTGTTCTAGAAAAATCCCAGACCACTTTTTTTAAACACTGCCTTTCCATCTTGTGACTGAAGCAGCCCTTTCCTCCTCAGCAGAACTGGCTCTGGAAGGTGTGTGTTCTATAGCATGGCACGCGATGCAAGGTTTGGCTACTATTGCTTCAATACGGACATCCTTCGGGGCCCAGGATGTCTACTCACTCATGCTCCGTGAGCTCAGACCAAGTTTTCTATTTTATCCCCTAAAGTATGGTTGAATTTTATCTACTTGAAACAACTGTGATGTAAATATAAAACAGGATTAGGTCCAAAGCAGGTATAAAATAATAAATAGCAAGAATGAAAGTTTGACTCACATTTCCTGAGGCGCTGAACAGGTATACTGTGTCCATTTGCATCTGTAGCCCTGTTTGTTTTCAAATTCACTGTGTAGATCTGCTGATTAATTGTGACTTCAGTTGTCATCTGGCGATTTTTCCGGGCATTCTCTAATTGCAGATTGGTCATTTTGTCAAAACTGTGGTAAGTGTTATTGTCATGATATTGCCATTCTATAAATTCATAGATACAATCTGCCTGGGATTCCTTTTCTTTGGCCAATCTTACTCTCTTGATCATTTCCTCAATTTCATTTCTAGCCTCAGCCACATCTCTGCCAATTCCCAAAACCTCAATCAAAGGTTTTTTATGGTCCAAGTATATAGTAATGTTTAATTTCTTCTGTAGCTCATTCAATTTCTGGACCTCCTTTTCATCAAAGTCTTTGATACACTCATCTGCACTGCTGTAAGAGTATTGTTCCTTTTCAATCAGATCCTGTATCCAGGAGAGGGCGTTTTCCACACACTTTATATTTTCACCACACACCTGAAAAATTACTGACTCTGTTTTATTTTCCAAAACTGAAGGATTGTATTCTTTTGAAGAGCATCGTGAGGAGCCCAAAAATATTAAATAAAACAAGAAAATAACCAAACTAAAAAAAAGAAGAATCAAAACATGCCAAAATTCTAAAAAAGGAAAGACAGAAGTCAAAGGTAATAAATAATAACAATAGTTGCGAGGCAAAAATTCTAAAAGAAAAAAGAAAGAAAGATTATTGCTTATTTTTTTTTTTTTTTTACAAACAGTACTTTAAATCCCCTGAAATTATAACTAGAACTTGGTACATTCTGACCATCTTCACTCCTTTTGCCTACCTCCACCTCCTTTGCATTCCCAACACCCAGCTACCACTGGCAACCACCAACCTGTTCTATGTGTTCATTTTTATTAATTCCATATGGAAGTGTGATGTCACACAGTATTTGTCTTTCTTTGACCGACTTATTTTACTTAGCATAAAACCCTCTGGGCCTGTACATTGTTGTGGCATATAGCAGGATTTCATTTTTTATAACTGAATAATATTCCATAATATATGTAAGCCACATCTCTTTTATCCATTAATTTGTCAGTGGAAACGTAGGTTGTTGCCACAATTTGGCTTTGATAAATAATGCTGTAATGACAGTGGGAGGAGGGCTTATATTTTCTTGGGATCATGATCTCATTTCCTTCAGACAAATACCAAGAAGTGGAGTAGCTGAGCCACATGGTAGTTCCATATTTAATTTATAAATGAACCCAAATTCTCACATGACCAAAAAAATTAGAAATGTGCATCTGGTAAAAACAACTCACGTGGAATGTAAGACATCACAGATTGTTGGGGAGAAGGTTGAAATCCTTTTCTTTTCTTCATGTTGGCATAAAACACATCCAGGAACTGAGGCCTAAAGAGAACAACCGTAACTTTTTTCACAGACTGAATAGATCCTTTCTGGACAAAACCTTCAATGGCATCTATGATGGCTCCAGCAACCTTATCTGGGTCTTGATTAGCACTTCCTGGGAAGGCAAATAATACAAATGATAGGGGTGGAGGACTCCATCCAGAAAAGGCTAAGGAATAACTTTGGGGTTCTAGTTCTCATGGATAATGGTCCATTTCCTAACACTTCCATCATGACAGACTATTCTAACAGTATCAGTAAACACTTTCCAATGTCCTATACATAATGGGGTGTTTTTATTCCAGGATTTCAGTAGCTCCTCAACGATCAAAGGACCCAGACTACTAATTTTTGGTTAGTATTCTCTACCTCCTCTAATACACTGATCCTACTCTGTGTTCCTCTGAAAAACACACCACAGGCAGTCCTTGTATCAGAACTGTCCTCAGAATAGCCATGAAAAACATATGATGCTATTTTATATTCCAACATCATGCTCTTTAAAGAGAACAATGTTTTCTTTTTTGGCTCAGTCATCACTTGACTTTATGCATGTATCTCCATTCTCCCAATGTCTTTGAGGATCTGATTCAAAACAAACTAATTTTATCAATTATTATAATCTATCAATCTTTGTACACAAGATATCCATGAACCTCCAGGAAGCCTTTCCTCCCACACTCAGCACATTTTAACCAAATATAGAAGATCATGCTGCCACCTGAGGTCAGTTCCTATTCTCATCATGCTCCATGGCTAGTTTCTCACACCAACAGTCAGGTAAAATCATGAAAAGTCCCAGGAGACACACAGAAACACATATGAAAACACACAGAAGCACCATATGAACAGCCTGGCTAAGTCACATGGGGCGGGAGGCAATATGAAGAACCCTAACCAACATGGTGTGATAGACTTGGGGGCCCACTTGGATTAACCCTGTTTATGGCACCCCCACTATTGCAGAGACTGAGGCTGGACCTCTTTGACTTGACGACTTCGACAATTTTGGGATCATAGACAAACCTCACGATCAGGGAAGGAGGATAGTCTCCTTCGTTACCCCATGAGAGTTGGAAGAATTTATTTTATTTTATTTTTTTAATATTTTTTATTTTATTTTATTTTTTTAATATTTTTTATTTTATTTTATTTTTTTAAGATTTATTTATTTATTTATACAAGCACTGGGTACAGTCAGAAGCACAGGAGGGTGAGAGAATTCACCAGAGCCAGAGCGGGGAACAGAAAGGGCAGACTGATGAAATAGACTGCTGAGGGGAGCAGAAGGCCCTGCAGGAGAGGTCTGCGCCATGTGGGACCCTCGCCCAGTGGCCGGGGATCGAACCGGCGCTGCAGAGCTGCAGGCAGATTCGCAACCCAGCACTCAACCACTGCGCCACTGGGAGTAACAGACACATTCATATACATTTACTGTGTCCCATCGCAGGCTGGATGCTCAGTTAGGAACTCAGGACACACCGGATGTGGTGTGTGGAAAGAATGAGAGATGGAAGGACCGTTGAGGAAAAGGTGATGCTGGAGAGAACTGTGGAGCAGGGAACTGTGCACCAGCGTGTTCAGGGGAATAGAGCTGTTTTTTGAGAGAAAAGTGAAGGAAGCCCTAGAAGCAAGGTGAAGGTCTAGTTAGGAGAGTGAAATAAATGCTTGGGAAAAGGACAAGAGCTAAACAAGAAGAGGCCAGAATGAAGAGTTGGGTGCTGGGAATGAGGAGATATTTAGGCCATAAGTCAGCCAGACCTAGTGACCAATTGGGTTTATCCTCAACCCATTGTCCCCTTCCACCACCTGCACACCTCACGGGCAACATGGGACACGCTGTGTTGCATGTTTGTGTCTGTCTCTCACAGGAGTGAGCTGTCCTAGTGGACCAGACCCTTTCCTGACTCATCTTTCTAACCCAGGTGTCCAAGCACAGGGCCTGGCACAGGGCAGGCACTCAGTAAGTATTTAACCAAACTAACTAATCAGCTACTGAACCTAGGAGTAGAGGGGGGTGGAGTCAAATGCTAGAGTGGGGCTTTGTACATGACCCAGTAGTTCAGAGGAAGGGCAGGTTAGGGGGAAGAGGACGTGAACTGGAGTTTGCAGTTGGCGTGGGGCTGGACTGCTTAGGTTTCGCTGACCCCCCATTCTCTCTGGGGAGGCAGGTGTCTTAAGGACAGGGAAAGGGCTTCTTTTATTGCCGGATGCAGTCTGATCCAAGTCCCAATTCAACTTAGAAATGCCACTAAGGGAGAAAGTTCCACCATTCACTAGTCTGAGGACCATCTGAGGGAGTGACCGAGCAAAGAGGGCAATTAGAGAATGTGCTAAGCTCCACTTATGTGCAGACTAACAATTCAACCAGGTCAGAGGAAGTTGTAGCAGGTGTGTATTAGTCCAGATGTGTGCATATTCATACAGAACTAAAATTGCCTCATGTTCTTGTTTTTTTCCTTGACTCCACTGGCAACCCCTGCCTTCTTGGCTCAAATAAATGAAGGCAGAAATGCAAGAGCAAAACTTATACAAAACAAATGCAAGAGGAAAAAGCAGGAGACACAGACTATGAGTGATTATTGAGTGCTCATAAAAATAACTGTGACAGATGATACATAGATGATAAGTTGGCTAATATGCTAAATTGGATGCTCCTATAAGAGGAATGAAAACCTAAGGCACTTATAAAATATAAACTTGCAAATAGAGGGTAAAAAAGTAGATACAGCAATTCATATGGAAACATAAGAGGAATCGTAGAGAATTACAGAAATCAAAATATGGGACAGAGAATTAGACGAGGCAGAAGGTGACATGATGGTTAAGTCTATTGAGGCTAAACTTCTGGAGAACCTACAATGCCAATGTGAGCCACTCAAACTTAGATTCCTGAGCAACAGAACCATCAGCCCAGTGCTGAGTGTTCTGTCATTGGACCAGTCAGTTCCATCTACCAGGGGCCAAGAGGATTTGCCTCTCCCCACTAGCTCTTTAGGGGAGACCAAGCAGGAACTCATCAATGCACTTGACTCAGATTCCTGCAGAAAGAGTTCAAAGGGCATCACCTTAGTAATGATAAAGCCAAAGAGCCATCTTTATACACGAAGAATCACTCACTCATTGCATAGTCTGAAGAAAACAAAAAACTTGAAGGAAGTAAAGAGACTGAAAAAAGGAAGCTGGAGAGTTAACGTGTTTCTGCTCCATTCGATCCCAGTGGGTCCTGGTGGCTGCAAGGTTTCTGCACAGGGAGGCCCTAAGGCCAACCCCCACAGCCCGCTGCTGAAGAGGCGAGCAGAGCTGGACGTGCTCCCAGGTCAGGGGCAGCGAGGAGCACGTGCACGTTCTGTGTGCTCCACGGAGGGGGTTAGAGGAGGAAGCTCATGGTAAGTCAGGGGGGATGTGGAGGAGACTGAAAAGAGATAAAGGGAATGATGGACAAGGAGAGATGCTCTCTCTTTCTCTTCTCTCCACTCCCCCTCTTCTTTTCTGTCTTTCCCCTTCTCTCTCTATTGCCTTCCACGTCAGAGAACAAATCTCTCTCTAATAGTCTAACATTCTTCACTTTCCTTCAATTTTTCCTCTCTGTTAGTTACACTACCCACTGACCTGCTTATTCCCTAAGGGACTTTCTTAGGTGAGAAAACTGTCCTAATTAGACTGAGCATTCCCCACAGTCACAGGACTGAATAGGGGAGCAGATGACTTGGGATTCTGCCTTGACAGCCAGAGGCTACACACCTGTCCCGATGGCTGGGAGGCAAATGGACGAGTAATTCCGTTTTTCACTCTCTTGCAAAACATGGGTAACAGATGTCTTGACATCATTTCCACCAACGACATGAATAATATTCTTGCACTTCAGTAAACCACCTCCTGTGATTAGGTAATCACTGTTGCCCTGTTTACCTGGGAAACACATGAAAAAGTTGCAAAAGTAGATGCTGATGTTCTTTGACTATTTAGAAAGCAACATGTCTGGTTTGGCAAATAGTATTTTATGTAGCTAAAAGGCTCTTGAAATACTGTCTTTCATGAATCTCTTTTGCTTACCTCCTCCTTTTAACTATGAGATCACTTTTCACTTTTAATTCTCCATAACTGAAATTTTTGGTCAAATGCATACTTTTAAGATCAATAGGTTTTCTTTCCAGTCCCAAGTCTCTCCCTGGTCTCTCTCTCCATAGCCCCTATAGTCAGCCAGCCATTCACAAATAAGGATTAGAGAATATTATTGTGCTTTACCTTGAAGACGACATTGGGTTTCTACACCTTCTCCAGCACCTTCTAAAATTGCTTTGGAGACTCCTATATGAGAAAATAAAGATGGTACAAATGTGGCTAAAAAATCCGTAGGTTATATTTAATTAGAATGCCTGCTCATTTTCTTTCCTTTTCCTCTTGTAGCATGTTTTTTAATTGAGGTAACTTTGCTTTAAAGTACTATGATTTTTTTCAGTTTTATTTTTTTATCAATAAATTTTTTATTATTTTTACATCATTATTCATTTTTAAACAACATTTGCTTCTTTCCATACCCTTGGGTGTGGTCCCTGTGAAGTATCCTTTGCCAATGCTCCCGTGCACCTAAAACACTGATTTAGAGATATAGGATCATTCCCTTCTTGCACATCACCACACCAAACCCACCAGCAAGGCACAGAAAGTCCTCCACCATCGTCCACTGGGACTCCTCCCCACTGTGTTTTCAATTACCCTATTCCTCTGGTAACCTCAATTCACAGTCAGATTTTGGGGGTGTATAATTGGTTTGGCTTTATATGATCCTTTGTTTTTTGTTTTTTTTTTTTCAGTTCCCCACATAAGTGATATCATCTGATAATTGTCTTTATCTTTGGGACATTTTTTGCTTAGTTTATTGCCCTTGATTACCATCCATGGAGTTGCAAATAGCAAGAGTTTTTTTTATAGCTGATTAGTATTCCACTGTGTGCACATCTTCGTGATCTAATTTGTCCTTGGGCTCTTAAGTTATTTCCAAAACTTAGTTATTGTAAATAATGCCGCAATGAACAATGCTGTGCATTTGCCCTTTGGCTAGAGTTTTTGCATTCTTCCTCATTTCCTAAGCTTTCCCAATACCAAAAAGATAATAAAATCTGGGTAGTTTCGATAAGAATAATAAAGCATAAAATAACTTATCAATTATAAGAAATGTCAAAATACTTTTCAAATTATTAATTAATATTAGAAATCCACAGTTGTAAAAATCACCTCAGCTACAGCATTTGAGATCAATTTGGCTACAGGGATTTACTGTGACTATTCAAACTCCCACATGTACAGTACCTGCTTTGAGATCAAATGTTTTTGTTGTTGAATTTACAATAACATCTGCCTGTTGAGTGGTGATATCTCCAGTGGCCACCTGGAACGTGATGGGACCAATCTTCATTTTGTGCACTCCCGGCTGGGGGCTAGACACAGTCCCGTAGAAACCTGAAAAGAAAAGAAGATGGAATCAGCTGCCAACAGCAAGAATGATGCCGGTCTCATTTCCATACATGCACCCCTCAGGCTTCTTCCCTCTCTGTGATCTCTGACTTGAATCTGGCCCTGACCCTGTACATAGTGATGGCCCATATTGGAAAACAGATGACAAAATGCAATGCATATTAAATGCAGACTTCAGACACTGGTCAAGATGAAGCCAACTGACTAGAGCCTGACTCTCCCACTGATTACAACTGAAAATGCGGGATGAATAAAAGGCAGTAGCTGGTAACTGAAGAGAATACAATAGCACGTAGACTATTGTACGTGAGACTATTGTACTTAGCACGTAGACTATTGTACGCAGACTATTGTACGTAGACTATTGTACTTCAAGTCAAAACTTGAAGTAGCAACCTGCAGTGGGGGAGGGTAAGAGAGGAGTTCAATTTTGTTTTGACATTTTTCCATTTTGCCTTCCCAGCTTTGGCCCTAGGATGGCCCTATCGAGTCCCACACATGGGTACAGGCAGCAAAAACACTCAGAAAATCTGTTATGTGGCCGAGGATTGAGAAAACAGGTCCTTGTAAGTTAAATTGCAGGAGAGTAATTTCTCATTATTTTTCATACTTTTTTCTTTTTAATCAAGACCTGCCCCAGGGTAACCCCAGTTGCAGAACTCCCTGTGGTACCACAGGGAGCTAAAATGGTGAGAAACATTCTTATTTCTACCCAGAGAATCAGGAAAAAGAGCTCTTTTGACCTAAAAAGTGTACAGGAGGGGGATGGGGGACATTCCTGTTATTTACTTATTCTTTTAGGTTCTTTGTTCCCAAATACTTCCTTTTGTCCTCATATTATTTTTTTCCTTGCTCTCTCTTCTCTCCTGTTCCCCAAGGACATTTTGACTATGCAAAATTATAAGACAACAGAAATGTCAGCTTCAGCTCAGAGGGAGTCCTGTCTTTCTGACGAGATGACTTAGAAAATGGGTTACTGCAAGTCAGATACTATTTAGGAATTCTTGAGAGGTGTGAACTGGCAACTGGGATCCTCCTTTCAGAGTGTGAACTGGACAAAATCCTAAATTCACCCCTGAGCTGCACAGGTCAGAGAGACCCAAGCAGCAGAGCTAATGCTTGAGGACTGAACAGACATGATTGCTGCTGCTCACACAGAAGGTGAGAAAGAACTCTTAGAATGAACTTGACTGATTACCATCTGCTAAAATAAACAAATAAAAATTCACTATTTTCTAGAGGATTTTAGTAGGACCCAAGTTTCATAAAATAATATTTTAAGTATTCATCCAAAATAGTTTAACATACAAAGAAGGAGGAAAAAGTGACCAACTCAAGGATAAAGGTAATCAATAGATGTTAATCTCAAGGTGATCCAGAAGTCAGAATTATGAGACAAAGTCTTACAGCATCTTCTATAACTATGCTGCCTGAGGTCAGGAAAACACATCTGAAAAGTAAAATGATTTGGTTGAACAGAAAAACAAGAGTCTTTCCAGAGATATATAAATTATAAAATAAGATCAAATTACTTCAAATTAAAAATACAGCCTGAAATAAAAAATGATCACCAGACAGACAACAAGGAGTAGACAGTCAGTGAATGAACATGAGACAGATCAATAAAAAAGTTGAATTTGATACAGAGAAAAAATTTGGAAAAATAAAAGATTGAGCCAATATGGGAGACTATCATAAAGCTTTAATTTCATGTTACTTTGTGCTAGAAGGAGGGGGAGACCAGTGCTGACAAAAATATTTGAAGAAATGGTGGAAAATTACCAAATTTGATGAAGGACATATATATTCCAAGAAGGCTCAGTAAACTTCTAATAGGAGTTTAAAATCTAATCTAGCCATAGCAAATCAGGCTGAAGCATTAGGTTGATATTTTCTCTTCAAAGGATCTATTTTTGAAAACATGAAAAATAGTGGCTCATCACTACTTGGTCTCCCACAGTTGCTCCAGATCACATTAACTAGACTGGTGCCTTGCATGGTCACATGTATAGAAAATAACTGAAAATATTTTTTATTATAAATTTTTTCTTCACAAAACTCATCACTGTAATTTCCCACCTATCATGCATAGTTATTTAGTAACTAAAAATAATGTTTAAACTCATTATTATTTTATTTATTTATTGGAGTGCAAAAAGGGCCTATTTATTGAAATATACTCCTGAGAGGCACAGCAGGCAAGACAGGAGAGGTCATATGCCTAGTTTTAATTGAAAAGTTTTACTGAACCTTGTGTATCTTCAGTCTTGTGAATGGCATCACTGTCAAAATTTCCATTAGCCCTTCGAGCAAATTCATCTGAGAATGCCTAGAAATACAAAGAGGGTTTTGATCACTATAATCTACAATCCTCAGCAGGTGAATGATTTTGATTCATCAGTTTTTGTTCCTACAGGCATGCACATTTAGGAGAAATCAATTCTCAAAGTATTATTTATTTTCATTACAGATGTTTAAAATTATGAAATACATATCTGTCATCCTGCTTTCATGAATATATCCTATGAAGTTACCAAAAATGTGAACAAAGATATAAATACAAGAATATTAATTACAGTGTTATTTGTAATACAGAAAAAATAAAAGTTTTAAACAGGAAAATGATTAAATAAATTTTAATACATCCACATGTTGGAATACTTACCAGTCATTAAAAATCACATTTTTAGGGCCTGCCTGGTGGCGCAAGGGGTTAAGATGCAACCTATGAGCTATCCACACCCACTGCAGCATGAGTTCGATCCCTAGGCAAGAAACTACACACATGGCTCAGCAGACCTCTCCTGCCTCACCTGCTGCTCCCCACAGCAGTGTATTTCAGTCAATCTGCCTGTTCTGTTCCCCACTCTGTCTCTGGTGAATCTTCTCACCCCCTGCACCTCTGGCCTATACCCCAGTTCTTGTATGCATAAATAAATAAATCTTTAAAAAATTAAATAAATGAAAAAGAAAGATATTAAATTGTTTAATCCCACTTTAAAAAATACAGAGGTTTAAAAGAAGATTGGAAGAATAAAACTGAAGAAGTTATACATTTTGTATTGTTCAAAGTCTCTACAAAAAACATGAATGACTTTCATAATCAGTAAGAGAAAATAACCTGCCAGTTGTGAACAATACTGTTAAGAGAAAGACAATCACAAGAATCCAATCGCTTCAGTTTTAAAATTCTTATTAGTGCAAGAGAGAAATGGTTGGAGGTTCATGCTTCTGCAGGAAGCAGCTGTTACATGTATTAATGAACCATTTCATGACTGTTAGTGACATTCCAAATCATTACTTTCTTCTCTCTCATAAACAAGCAACAGAAAATTTTGTTGGGGGGGAAAAAGTAGCCTCTTGGTGAAATTTTAACAGGGTGGTCCCCAGGAAGAAGGAAGGTTCCAGATTCCCTGCCCCACCCAAGGGAGGGTCGAGCTGAGCAGGGAGGAGAAGAAGCTGGAGAGGAGACTGGGGAAGGAAGGAAGCAGGATAGAGAGCCAGAAGGAGACCTGGAGGAGGCACATGTAGCAAGGAGATGTGTGAAGAAGCTGCACTTGCTTTTTGGTCATGGACTGGTTGGAACAGATGTGGGTGAGAGACCCGTGAATAGGTGACAATGGCAGCTTGTATTTGATTTTGATTTTGCTCTTTTCCTCCCAGACTGGTCTGGCTGTTTCTTACCCTTTCCTTGGTCCTCACCAGAAGGAGCTTTAACCTGTGGCAGGCTTTCGGGCCTCGGTGGCCCTGCTTTGGGCTCATCATGTTTGGCTGGGCATTTATCCACAAGGGAATGGGTAACTTTGGGTGATAGATTTGGAAACCAGCTTCTTCCTCTTTTCTGTATTGCACACTAATTGTATTAAAGTTCCTTTCCACTGAAGGTCTTACACACTAGAATATGTTTTATCTCTATGTGGCGATTGGTAGAAGCTATTTAAAATGGGCATTTTTGGGGGTTGGGGGTGCCCCTCACCCTGTTCTATAACAACATGACTAATACACGATGGGAGAAGGGCCAGGAGAGACTATGGTGCCAGGGTCTCAGGCTCACAGGTCTGTGGGACAGGCAGGTAAGCTATAAGAGCAAAGGCGGATGTTTTGTCTCTGAGAACACCTGCCACTCAGCCCCGGCAAACTGTCCACTGTCAGCCTTCCAGAACTTTTGAATTTTTAAGTCACAGAGTGCATCGGGAATTTTATGTGAAATATTTTATGTCTAAATGCTAGCAAATGATGAATGGCGAGCACAAGGGAATTCATTATACTACTTTGTCAACTTTTATATATGATTAAATCCTGAATAAGAATTTAAATGTTTCTACAACCATAAATTTGCTTGAGTTTACTAGACTACAATTAGTCTACACTACTCCTTTGCTCTCTTTATGGTAAATAGATGAAGAAACAGCAAAGAAGACAACTGAATACATAGGGCTCAGCTAACAAAACACCAGAAATAAGAGACTGTACCTGGATATTTCCATGATCCTTTGGGTGCAGCATAAAGTGAACCTCCTGTAAGGTGGTGGCTTGGTTGTTGCTACTGAATTTGAACACTTCTGAAATGATTAATTTGGCAAAATCAGATTTAGGAAAGCCTAAAATTCCTGTTCCTATGGCTGGAAATGCAATGGATTTTAAGGACAGTTTCTCAGTGATCTCCAAACATTTTCTGATTAAGTCTTCCATGATCTGAAAAGCACAAAACACATCATCTTTATAGAATGGGAGTTAGAGCAAAACAGAAGAGTTTGGTAACTTGACTGTGATGCCAGCTCTCTTTCATTTTCTTTAAAGATTTATTTATTTACTTATGCAAGCACTGGGTACAGTCAGAAGTGTGGGAGAGTGAGAGAATTCACCAGTGCCAGAGCGAGGAGCAGAGCAGGCAGAAGGACCGAAGTACACTGCTGAGGGGAGCAGCCGGCGGCCATATGGGACCCTCCTCTGGTGGCCCAGGAGCAGCCGGGGAGCAGCCACTGCAGAGGCTGCGGGTAGCTTCGCAACCCAGCACTCAACCACTGTGCCACCGGGGAGGCCCTCTCTTTCATTTTCAACAGAAGGTAAGAGTAATCAGAAGGGAAAAGGCAAGTTCACACGTAGAGGCAGAAAAGAGAGAGCCCACCCAGAAGACTCCAACTCACTCAGCAATGAAGGGAAGAACCCGAGCAGCTACTGTCCTAATCCTCCCTTTTCTTCAACGGTTCATGCCCTCGCCTTGGATTCCTCACTAAAGTCTCTTCCCTGACTCCCGAGAATGGCTGAGCACTGTGATCAGTTTATGCTACTAACTAGTCCTCAGGAGAAGTCAGACACAGCGGCAATAAATGGCCATGGTGACGGAGGCTGCCGAGAGCGTGACATTACTACCGGAGAGAAAGAGTCAGGGTTCAGTTTGGTCTCCATCATATGGAGGAGAGTGGAAAGGGCTCCCCAACTTCCTGGAGGGTGTACAACCAGATCCCACCTTGTGTGCAGATGTGCTGTTATTTTTCCACCCTGGAGCCACCACGTGAAGCACATGCTGGCACTGCAGATTGCAGCCACTGGTGAGGAGAACTGTGCCCACGTCCACAGCCACCCCTTGTCCAGCTGCGTTCAATTCCTCCTGGAGTTGTGGCCCAGCTTTTCCCAAGAGGGCTTGAGAAAGGGGTCCATTATTTAGTGAAAGACTCCAGGGAATGGAGTTGACGATAACATCGACCTTAAAGACAAAACCAACAATTTGTTTCAAATACTAACAGAAAGCATTCATCAAGGATTACTATATTGACCCACTGGGCTGGCCTAATAGAAGACAACTAAGATGGTCACGTTCTCAGAGATTAAATGTCACCTAAAGCAAAGTGTTATTAAATACTTTGTTCACTTAAGAAACTTTAAGACCAAAGAGAACTGTCCAAAAGCAATTTATAAACAGTATGGAACCACTGGAGGAGTCTAGTTCTTCAAGGCTGGTGAAGACACCAGGGACAAGGTGGGTGCTGAGAAGTTGGAAGGGTTGCAGCAGGTAGAGAGAAATGGGAAGTCACTCGGGAAAGGGAGAACATGAATATAAGCACGTAGGCTGTGAGCCGTCAGCAGATTGGCAGACCTGTTTCAACAGCACAATCTTGCCAGCCAGTTTAGACTGTTTCTGGTGGTAGGGGGGACTGGGCTCAAAAATCATTCCAGTTACTGACTCTTGGTTGATTTGGTTTTTAAAATTGATTTCCTTTTTTCTAGTGAGAAACAAAATTAATATTCAGTATTCTGAAACAGTGCAATGGCTAATTATGAGCAAATTCTTGGATACCAAGTACAAATTTCTTACCCCCTCTAAGTCCCATTTCTTCATGTGGGTATTGGGAAAAATAATAATCCTACAATCTTTCTCATGGGAAAATGTGCATCAAGCATATAGCACGGTGTCTGGCACAGAGAAAACGATCACTGTGAACTACTTGTCTTGTGATTATATTTTATCTCTATGCAAGTGGTAATCTAATTTTAAAGAATTCTTTCAAAAGTTGAAACTAAAATAAAAATTATCTTAAAACAGCAACATTAAAAAGGGTAGCACCAGAGAATGGTAGAAAACATTAAAAATCATATGTATTTGATAAGGAACATGTATCCAGAACATATAAAGAACTCTTAAAGAGTCAATCATAAAAAGATAACCCAATTTGAAAGCAACAGTTCTCCAAAGAAGATATGCAAATGGCCTTCCCAGGTATCCCAGGACTATCCACAATCACCCAATTAAAGAAGTAATATTCAGTACAGCTGGGGAGTCCACGGCTGCTGTCTGATTAGTGAACCTATATTAAAAGGTTATTAATATGTTTTTAAAACATGTCACCCCCTGGTTGACCTAACAGAATTTCCCTCCATCATACCCACACCTTTCCCAGATCCACTTCCTCTCTCCTCATCACATCTCCTTACTGGGGCTGGTGCTCCTATTCCCCAACACTCAGGGCCCCAGCTGGTTCAGTTCCTATGCTCTAAGTATTCTTATCTGTTATCTGCAAACTTAACCAGAAATTATCCTTAGATGTGTCATGTAAGTGTAAAGTCATTGAATTAGTCCAGAAGCTGGAAAAATATGAGGTATTGTTGTGTATTTCACACTCATGAGAAATCAGGTGACTTGAATACATATTTAGTTCCCACAAATGACGGGCAAGGCAATTAGTCAATGTCTTGGGAAGTAGCCAAGTTCTAAGGACCCTGTCTTGAGGTGGGACTTGGGCTGGGCATGGATTCTCTCCTTGAGCCCATTTTCCTTTAAGAAGTGACTAACTGGGGTGGAAACAACCTGGGAGTGTGGGAGACAACCTGGGGTCACTCACCACAGCGTTCTGCACCTCTTCTTTCACCAACAAGACCCTCAGGCCTTCTGGGGACAAGAGAACTTGTCCATTCCCATGATCTTCTCTCAAGTCGGGCTGCCTGGCTGCTGGCAATCTGGGCAGGGAAGCAGCATCGGGCCGGGCATCTTTAAATAGAGTTTTCATGGCGCTGGCAAAGGCCTCAACAGTCTTCTCAGCTGTATCCACAAGGTAGATTTCTTTCAAGGTGCATCCATCTGACTTATGTTGGAAATGCCCCTTGACAGCAGAAACGATGGTCTCCACACACTGGGGTAAGGCGAAGCCAAAGTTTTCAGAACTAATAGCAGGGATGGCGATGGACTGACACTTGTGTTTTTCAGCCAAACAAAGACTTTCTTCCATGGCTGTCTTCAACTGGGACACACACCTCTGGGCCTCATTTTTCCTCCAGTGGGGCCCGACTGCGTGGATCACGTGCCTGTATGGGAGCTTTCCTGGCTTTGAGATGGTGGCGTGGCCAGGTAGGACCTTGCCATTTCTCTTCACTATCTGGTCACAGTCGGCTTGGAGCTCAGGGCCTGCTGCTTCTAAAAGAGCAGCAGCAAGGCCCCCGATGTGCTGGAGCTCCTCATTGGCTGCATTCACCACCACTTCCACGGGGAACCCAGTCAGGTCGCCCTGCTGCACAATCAAGGAGACTCCAGGGGCCAAGTCCACCCGACAGAGGCATTTCTGCTCATCAGCGCCCCCTTCTGCCTTTTCTTTGTTCTCCTGTAGTTTAATAAAACAACCAAACAGCCTTTTGGCCTCACATATATAAAACTCTTCTTTTTCCTGGAATAACTGTCTGGCTCCTGGGTGATTAATGCAGGTACTTTTAACACAGACAGAATCCCGGACTTGCATGATGAAGTCTATTCCCTTCCGGACGTCTATCTTTGGACCAGTTAGTGAAATTCCTTTTGGACCTTTTTGGTTTTTCTCAAGATGGAACTCTATCTGCATGTTTGGCTTTCTTATCTTTGGCCAGAATGACCTCTTTTCTGCCTGTAAGTACTCAATAATTAAGGAAGACTCTATTTCAATCATCCTTTTTATGATTGTGTGTTTTTCCAGAAAGTCAAAAAGTAAGTGATGAATTTCTTTTACTTCTCTCACACAGCCGGCCACAATGACCTCAGCATTGACATCTGAAATTAATTCATTGATTATTACAGTTGTTGAGGAGGAATTACGTTTGTTGAGCAAGCTGCGAGTGAGTCCTTTCCATTTCTTGCCATTGAGAACGTGTCTGTTCTCAACATCTATGCGCTGATAATTTAAGGCACTGGTCATTAGCTTTTCAGCTTCTAATAGGACTTCAGGAGAACAGCTGGTTAAGAGAACACTTGGATCCTTTAGCTCATAAATTGCAAGAATTTTCTGTGCTATAAAAAGAGACTTAGAGAATTCGGTAGAGTCTACCTGTTGTAAAAACTGGAAAACCTCAGGGGGAACCTGCACGTGTTTCTGAGCCATGGCGTGCACCTTCTCCTGGACTTCACACTTCACCTTATACACATCTGCAGGGAGCCCTTTGATGCTCATGTGCTGAGAGGGTTCATCGTAGACTATCTCCACCTCTGGGCCTTCTGGGCGGAAACGTTCCAGTGCACCACTGTGGCACAGGAGAGAAAATCTCCCTGGAGAAAGGGACACTTTTTCCTTCAGGCTTTGCTGTTCCCTTTTAATTCTTTGCGTGGTGCTTTCTATTAATTCTGTGAGTTGTGGCTCAATCTTTTGTACATCCTCTGATCTCCCCGTCAAAGTGACGATGTCCAGCAGTGTATCAAACTCAATCAACACCCTGTTGTCTTGTAAGTCACTTTTCATGGTGTCCCACACGAAGGGATCCACTTTAAATGAGGAGACTTTATATTTAGACCTGATGCCAGCGAAGGCTGTGGAAGCATTTTTCTGCCAGCTCTTGATTCTCTGTCTTCCTTGACTGAGTAAGGAGGGTGCAGGTTGGATGGTAACTTCCCCATTGAGTTCAGACCATGTGAACTCACAGTGACAGCGTCTCACTTCATCATTCATCTCCTCGATCAGGTGATTGTTCTTGTGCAAGAACTTCCACAAGGGAAGGTCCAACGATTCTCTGAAGGGTGCTGGAAGCTTGACCAGAGGCTTCTCCTTTCCGTACAAGGCTGTGCCCAAGGAGGAGTAGTATGGGAACACGGAGAGCGGCATTTTGTTGAGCTCGAGTTTCTTGGTTTTGATGGTGTCGACCACTTAAAAGAAAGAAATAAAAGTAAGTATTTCAGTGTCATGTTTCAAGAGTAAACAATAATACTTTCCTGCTCTACAGTAATAAATCCTCATGTTTGTAAGACTACTATATTACATTATTAAGAACCATACAATGCTCAAATATAAATGAACACATAAAAACTTCAAGGACTTTATAGGTATTATTTGTTTAGTGGAATAATTTCAGTTGCTGTCACTCTAAGTTGGAATTGTATTAGGTTCATTCTATTTTACATTTCTCTGACATATCTCCATCATGTTCAGAAACAGACATGCCTTTAGTCACAAGCCTGGGGATAATGTCTATGCAGGGTAAGGAAAATTTTGGTGCTCAACATGAAGCTCAGGTCAAATGATATTATTTCCTTCTTCCGTAGGCTTTCATTTTAGGCTTCATACAGGACTTAAATTCCCCTAATGCCGGGCCTCCCTGGTGGGGCAGCGGTTGAGCTCTGGGAGGGTCCCACATGGCACGCAGACCTCTCCTGCTGCCCGCTACTCCCCTCAGCAGTGTATTTCGTCAGTCTGCCTGCTCTGCTCTCTGCCTCTTGTGAATTCTCTCACCCTCCCGCGCTTCTAACTGTACCCGTGCTTGTATAAATAAATAAAATAAAATCTTTAAAAAATTCCCTTAATGTCTCTAAGGGGAGGAGCATAACAATAATAAAAATTATTATATAAATAATAATATTATTATAGCTAAGAATCGTCAAGAATAATGTCAGACACTATTCTAAGAGTTTACATATATTTAATTCATTGAATTCTCACAATAACCCTTGACATCCAAAGTTTTTATCAACACAATCCACAAGTGACATACTCCACAAACTAAAACTAAGCCAAAATGGATTAGAAGTAGGAATATATGACCTGAAACAATGAAGTACATAGATGAAAACAGGCTAAACACACCATGAATTTGGCTTCAGGGATGTCTTTGGGTACTAGACTACACAGTAAGGGAAACAAAAGCAAAAACAGATACTGAGGTAACATCAAGTAAAAAGCCTCTGCATGGCAAAAGAATCTATCATTTAAATGAAAAGATACCCTACCTGAATGAAAGAAAATATTTGCATACCATACATCTGACAAGGGGCTAATATCCAAGATGTACAAATAATTCACATAACTCACCATAAAGAAAACAAATAACCAATCAAAAAATGAGGATAAGAGGTGAAATGACACATCTCCAATGAAGACTACAGACTGCTAACAGGCATATGGAAAAATGCTACCATCACCATTATCAGGGAAATACAAATATAAACTCAATGATATACCACTAACGCCTGTGAAATGACCTGTTTCAAAAAAACCAGCATCAGGCCTTCCCAGTGGTGCAGCGGGTTGAGCGCAGCGCTGCGAAGCTGTCGGTAGCCTTTACAGTGCCAGTTTGATTCCCGGCCAGGTAGGGAGATTCCCACATGGCGTGGCAGACCTCTCCTGTCACGCCCGCTGCTCCCCTCAGCAGTGTATATTCCAGCCGTCTGCCTGTTCTGCTCCCCACTCTGTCTCTGGTGAATCCTCTCACCCTCCCGCGCCTCTGGTCTATACCCCAGCTCTTGTATAAAAATAAATAAATAAATCTAAAAAAAAAAAAAAAGACAAGCATCAATAAGTGTTGGTGAGGATATGAGAATGTGGTGGGAGGTGCTGGGGGAGCAAGGAATCCTTACAAACTGTTGGTGGGAATGCAGAATGGTCCTTATGGAAAACAGTATGAAGTTTTCTCAAAATATTAAAAATAGATTCATCACATGACGCACCAATTCCACTTCTAGATGTCTACCCAAAGAGTATAAAAACACAAATTCAAAGGAATACATGTACTCCTATGTTCATTGCAGCACTGTTTACAACAGTCAAACTCTGGAAACAATCTTAGTCCCCAAGGACAAATAAATATATTAAGACAAAGTATATATTGGAATACTACTCAGCTACTAAAAAGGTGACTTTTGCCATTTGTGACAACATGGGTGGGTGGAACAAGAGGCTATTATGATACGAGAAATAAGTTAATAGGTCAAAGACAAATACCAGATGTTTTTACTCATGTGTGGGATATAAGAAACAAACAAAATAATCTAAACAAAATTAAAAAAAATCTAGAAATCTGATGATAGAGTTGAGGCTACCTTTGAGGAGAGTGGAGGTTGGGAGCAAAGGGATAAAGTATAGTTTTTTGGTGCATCATAAGTAAGTAGAGACTCGGGAATTTCTTTACATCTTCCAAACTTAATATTGATTCTCTAAAGTCTGAATCACTGGACTCATCAAGTGTCATATCCCTGATGAACAAGATTATAAATTGGATTTTCAATGAAATGTATGAATTAAAAAATAAACTGTAATCAACTGATAACTATTAATATCTGCTAAAATAGTTTAGGTTATGCCAGATAAGGATTATAAAATCAGATTACCAGGTATTTACCTTTTCTGTCCAAAAATTCAATGAGAGCAGAACTCTCTTCAGGAAAACATTCAACTTTGGCAACTCTTCCTCCTCCATTATCAGGATTTTCAAATACAAGTTTTAATTCAGAGTCATCAACACCAGGTGGCAGGTTTTCCACCCTGATTGTTCTTGTGACTTCCAGAGGTCTTGGAGTTAGCTTAAGTTGTTTCACTTTAGAGATCCTGGCACAGTCAGCAACAAACTTTATGACATCTACAAATACATGAATGAATGAATAAATACATCAGAAAATTCTGATTTTATTGCATACATAAGGAAATTATCTGAATATTAATAAAAATAAAGGGGGTCTCCCCTGGTGGCGCAGGCAGTTGAGGGCAGCGCTGTGAAGCTGTCCACAGCCTCTGCAGTGCTGGTTCAATCCCCACCGCCCCGCGAGGGTCCCACATGGTGCGGCAGACCTCTCCTGTTTCGCCCACTGCTCCCCTCAACAGTGTATTTGGTCAGTCTGCCTGTTCTGTTCCCCGCTCTGTCTCTGGTGAATCCTCTCACCCTCCCACGAATCTGGCCTGTACCCCGGTTCTTGTATAAATAAATAAATAAATAAATCTTTAAAAAACAAAACAAAACAAAAATAAAATAAAAAATAAAAATAAAGGGGGAGCTAAGCATTTGATTTTTTAGATGCTAGTTTTAATTGCTAAGAACATTTCTATGCCTAAAACTGCCATTCTCTGAACAAGGCCCATATCAATGTCTTATTTGGATTATTGCCAGAACTGTGACACTGTCTCCAGTCACAGCCCTCTCCAACCCTGTTTGATATGGCCATCTGATTGGTCTCACTACAATACAAATATTCTCATTTCCCTCCTTTCTTAAGTCACTCAGTGACCCATTATTCCTGCAGACAAGAATTATACTATTTAGGCTTACATGCCGTTAGCTTTGGCTCCAAAATAATTTTTAGTCAACACTTGTGAGTATTCCCTGAAATTTAAATGTGGCCACAAAAACTACTCTGTCTTGAAAACCTGTTCTTTTTTTGCCTGTGTTTATACAATTTTATATGCTTGACATGACCTTCTCCTAATGTTTATACTGGTTCTATTCCTCCTTCTGGACTCAGCCCAACTATTCTTTTCAAATTAGTAAATAGTGATGGTGGGCCCATGGTGTGACAGCACAATGCTTGCTAGCATTCAGAGATACACAAGTAAGTCTCACACATCCTTGAAAGTTCACCATCCAGGAGGCACCAAGTCTTAAAAGGAAACAAATTGCCTAATGTCTAAACAAATGAGGTGGGAAGGTTAATACTGGGAACTGGATTGTCAAGGATTCCCAGAGTAAGTGACCTGGCTGTTGGAGGACGAAGAGGCATTGAAGAGTAATGAGGGGAGGAAACATGCAGGCAGAGGGCACAACAGTGGCATGAAACACAGTATATTTCAGGCCTGATTGGTGCTGGGCAAGTATAAATGTCATAGAAGGGAGTAGACAGGGCTAACCCAAGCCACCATATAGGGTTCCCCATACTCCCTCTCTCCACAGCCTGTTCCCTGCTAAGGGAAGCAGCTCCTCCTGCACCTTACATGTGAGCTCCTCAGGAACAGGAATTTATCATCTCTGTACCCTCAGCACCTAGACAAGTGTCTGGCACACAAGAAGTGCTCACGATTTTTGATTAAAGAACAAAAGCAGGTCCAAATATTAACAAATAATCATAAATTTGAAATAGGAATAGCTCCCTTTCTTGAATCCTTAGTATGTCTCAGGTACTAGGTGAAGAACTTTCAAACCACCTCATTTAATTCACACAGAAACTGGACTAGGTAAGTATTATTACCCCCATTTTACAAATGAGGAAAGTAAAGCACAGTCTCAGATATTAGTTAAATGGCAGAATTAGCATTTTTATTCTATGATTGTGCCCTTCACTAACCAGTCCACTGCCATGGCCTTGGGACTTGAGACTTGGAACCGGAACATGACCTTGTCTTTCTGGAGACAGCTCTTCCAATCTCAAGGACTGTCCACAGACTCCAGACAGTGACCTTAAGAGCACTCGTTTTCTGTATTCCAAGCTCTTACTCATCTCTGCACACGCATGACCATGACCCAGCTCAGGCAGGGGGTCCCTGGGTTTAAGTCCAGTCCTTCCACTTATTAGTGCCTCTAGTTCTATCTAATAGTTCAATCTATTAAACATAGCAGATTTTAGGGCCTCCCCGGTGGCGCAGCGGTTGAGCGCTGGGTTGCGAAGCTGCCCACAGCCTCTGCAGCGCCAGTTTCATCCCTGGCTGCTCCCCGGCCACCAGAGGAGGGTCCCACATGGTGCGCAGACCTCTCCTGCCGCCCGCTGCTCCCCTCAGCAGTGTACTTCATTCGGTCCTTCTGCCTGCTCTACTCTCCGTTCTGGCTCTGGTGAATTCTCTCACCCTCCCTCACTTCTGACTGTACCCAGTGCTTGAATGAATGAATGAATGAATGAATAAATAAATAAATAAATAAATAAATCTTTTAAAAAAATAGCAGATTTTGGTTTCAAAAAAAATTTGCTTCTCTTTCAAAATAAAAAAGCAGACTTCTCTTACAAGCTACTGAAAGAATCACACCTTCAGAGACATTCCCTCAATGAGTGTCCCAAATCTCAGTGTGCACAAGGAAGACTGCAAGCAAATGAAGCATCACTCAATCTTACCTATGTATTTTCGAAAGGTAACTACAGCAACATCAAAATCGCGAATTATTTCCACTTCAAAGTCATCATTGGACAAACCACTCGTGTTCTCCACTAACAAGATTAACATCGAATCAGTCACATTTTCCTGGAGATTTTCAAGTGCAACCAAAGAAGAAATGATTTCACTTTCTGCTCCAATATCTTCCATTTCTTCTGATCTTCTATTGAGAGAGGGTTTTGTATCTGGTTCTTCGGACACATCTGATTTTAGGGAGACAGATGAGGTACAAAATGTTATATTTATTGGTTTTAACAAAGTAAATTATCATAAGATATTTCTTCTTTCATTTTCAATCTCTTGGCTAACCATAGGGCAATTTTCAGGATTTAGTGTGGAAAAACTTTAAACAGAGGACCTCCTCTTCTTCTCTGAAAGGGGACAACTAAAGTATCTTGTTTGAGACCACCCAACTTCCTATCCGGTTGCTATCACTGGAACTGGGTCAATTTAAACAGGTTCGTAAATGGTTCTGAAATTTCCAGCACAATGAGAAGCCCATTGTTGTGGGGCTGAATGGTGGTTCTGAGAATACATTTAAGGTTTTAAGCAAAATGAGACAGTGCTAACAAAGCAGTTAAAACAGAGTTAGAATAAACTCTAGGAAAAGCTAAGAAACACAGACTTGATTAAATTCTGGACATGGGAATGACACCGATACAAACATACAAATACAAAACCACTTTTGGGTCTAAAATTGAGGTTGAGGGCACAGCACACAAGGCAACTTTCAAGAAAACCATATTTAGGGGGTCACAACGAACATTGGGAGCTGCGTGAATTGGGCCTATATGTGAAGAATGAAAGACAGGAATTCCTTTAAGGAGACAAAAATTTCTTTCATGATTTCATAAGAATCATGAGCTTTAAGAAAACTCTGCATATTAGGTTCTGTCATTTAATAGTATATCTATGTGAGTTACACCCCTATCTAGCTATTTTGCCAAATAAAATCAACTCTCATGCTAGTGTCATTTTCAAAAAGAAAGTTGCAAAAGTCTATATGTGATCTCAAGAAAATTTTGATTTTATTTTATTTATTTTTTTAAAGGTAGTTTTTATTTACTTATTTTTTTTGAAAGATTTATTTTTATTTATTTTTACAAGCACTGGGTACAGTCAGAAGCACGGGAGGGTGAGAGAATTCACCAGAGCCAGAGCGTGGAGCAGAACAGGCAGAAGGACCGAAGTACACTGCTGAGGGGAGCAGCGGGCGGCAGGAGAGGTCTGTGCGCCATGTGGGACCCTCCTCTGGTGGCCAGGGAGCAGCCGGGGATGAAACTGGTGCTGCAGAGGCTGCGGGCAGCTTCGCAACCCAGCGCTCAACCGCTGCGCCACCGGGGAGGCCCAAGAAAATTTTGATTTTAGAGGAAGATGTTTACAGTTTTTTGGAATTCCATTTCCTGAAGATTAAATATATTCTTCACTTTTTCTCCATTCCAGCACAGTTCATTCTTTCCTCCCCTTTTTAACAGCATGCTTTGCAAGGAAAATTAATCACTTCTAAATAAATGTGAGGTGGCACCACCCAGACACTAATTAGGCAGCAGAGTCCGCAAAGCCACTAGGTTGTTGACTTTTTCTTATAGCAAATGCAGCAAGAACAGTTACTGCTGGTCTGGAGGGCTGTACACTATACCTTCATCCTTCTCAGAAGTTTCTGTCCACAAGGGACACACACTTTCTTATTGTGGCTGCAGAGGACAGAGTCTTCTGTACTCTGTGCTCAGAAACTGATTTTGCCACACAGGGCACCAGCATGTCATGTCCTTGTTTCTCGATGGCCAGTTGCATACAAGTGGGTTCTAAAGGTTGGTTCATCTACCTTCCATGTAGCTTTTTGTCTGCCTTTCCATTGCTAGGTGTCTATTCACACATAGCAATCTGTTCCCAACCTTCTCACTAGACCCCTAAGAACTCAAGGGGCAACTCCAGGTTTGCCCTCTGTATGAGTGGCAGAGAGAACATAGTTGATGCAACCTCCAGGCATTGCTCAACTGAGCAAGCCTGCTTTGTAAAATCAGGAAGAGAGGGCTGGCCACCACTGTGCCCTCTTAAAGAAAAGCAAAGCTGAGAGATCAAGTGGGTCAATGAATGGAAAATACCTACTGCAGCACCCCACCCCATGACCCAGAATTGTGGAGAACCGTGTGGGAATTGCCATGGAGGTGAGTGAATGGCACCAGGTAATTGCAATCTTGGCACCATTAGAAGAAGATAAGGACTCCGCAGAGAGACCTGCAAATAGCCAAGGGCCAGCCAGTAAACTTGTGCCGAAGGGAAGAGCTCAAAAAGTATACGGGAATTGCGGCTGCCCAGGTCCCTGCACCTGTGACCTAGAATTGAGGGGAGATACATGGGAGCTGTCACTGAGGTGAATACCCTCACTGGGTAATCAAAAACCAGATTCCCAGGCATGGTAGTGGTTTGCAAAAGGCACCATTCTGCAGGCACTGAACTGGGCTACCAGCCACATCCCAGATCTGAGGGCTTCAGAACAAAGAACTGGGGCACAAAATTCGGGGCTTGGGTTCCTCACTACAGCGGGGCACAGGGCAGACACAGCACCCCCACACCATTGAGGCACTCCATGTCACCACCACCGCTCTGTTCCCCAGAGACCCAAAGGCAAAAAGCACACTTTTGGAAGGATACTAGGAAAGAGCTCTGGCACCACCACCAACTTCCTGATAGTTGGAAGCTAGGGATTCCAAAACCACCCTCAGGCTCTGAGAAGGGGTGAGAAGGGAACAAGGCAAATAGCAAGACCCCATTCTGGAACTGAGAGCTGGGCATGGGATCCGGGGTGTAGCACAGGCCATAACAGTGGGCACTGCACAGGGTGACAGCCAGCATTTTCTATCCGAGAGCCCTGGAATTAAGAACTAGAGCACAGAATTCAGCGTGCAGTATCCACATATCTGTGGGCACAGCACTGGGTGAACACGGGGCAGACACAGCACCCAGATTGAGCGATAGCCCTGTGTTGAAGTGCTCCCCTCCCTCGCTCCATTTCGCAGAGAACTACTGAGAAAAATCACAGGTCAGTAAGTACAGGTGTCTGGCGCCACCTAGTGACCAGAACAAAATCACAAACTAGCTGATGCCCTGCTGGAACTGAGTAAATACAGAGGGAGGGAACTGTAAAGGACAGTGCCCAGCAACACAGTCAGAGCATCAACACCGTGGTGGAGTTTTGGCCTAACAGTGTGAGACACAGAATGGTATACAGTTTCCCACAACCCTGAAAGTACACTCCAAAGAGATGCCTGCCAATACCAGTGGCACAACATCCCAATGCATAGAAGTAATTAGAAAGCAAACAGCAGGGAGAAGGAAAAATATGAATAACCAAGCAAGCCCACAGGAGGACACACCAAAAAAGAAAAACAGTCACCAGATCTCAACAATGACATGGAAGATAGAGAATTAATAACCAGAGAATTAATAATCATCATGATAAAAAAAAAGCATAAAGAAAATGAAAAGGAAAAAATGATATGAACAAATAATCAATGAACTGAAGAATGAAAATGAGACCTTAAGAAAGGAAATAAAAGAAATGCAGATTAAAAGATTACTGGAGGAGATAAAGAACTCTGAGATAAAGAAAAGCAATGAAAACAGAATCAATGAAATGGAAGAAGGGATTAGTACTCTCGAAGATACAGAAATAAAAAGAACCAAAAGGGAAAAGGAGAGAGAAGTGCAAAGGAAGAAGAATGAGGATACACTTAGACAATTATCAGACTCCATGAAGAGAGGAAATATAAGTTACAGGCATCTGGAAGGTGAGGAGAGAGACAAAGTATCTGAGAAATTATTTAAGGAGATAATTGAAGAAAACTTTCCCAAGCATGAAAAAGGAGATGAATATAGACATACAAGAAGCAAGATGAGCACCCACATACCACAATGAAAAGAAAACTACAGCAAGGCACATACTAGTAAAGCTTGCAAGAGTCCAGACAAGGAAAAAAGTAATGAAACTGGCAAGGGAAGGAACAGATAACTTATAAAGGAAAACCAATCAGGTTAACCTTCTGCTGTCTCCAGGAAACACATTTAACTACAAAAGATAAACATAGACTGTATGTAAAAGGTTGTAAAACAATTCTACAAGCACATGGACCAAAAAAGAAGGCAGGAACAGCTACACTTATATCAGATGAAATAGACTTCAAATTAAAAAAGGTAAAAAGAGGGCCTCCCTGGTGGTGTAGTGGGTTGGGCGCATAGCTGTGAAGTTGTCCACAGCCTCTACAGCACGGTTCAATTCCCAGCCAGCCAGGGAGATACCCACACGGTGCGGCAGACCTCTCCTGTCTTGCCCGCTGTTCCCCTCAGTACTGCTTTCCATCCATCTGCCTGTTCTGCTCCCTGCTCTGTCTCTGGTGAATCCTCTTACCCTCCCACGCCTCTGACCTGTACCTCAGCTCTTGTATAAATAAATAAATCATTTTAAAAAATAAAAAATGTAAAAAGAGACATAGACGGACACTACATAGACGGACATTATGATCAAGGGGACAATACATCAGGAAGATATAACACTCATCAACATATACTCACCAAGTGAAGGAGCACCAAAATATATTTGACAATTATTATCAGCTCTGAAAACTGACATTAAAGAAAATACATATATAGTGGGAGACTTCAACACCTCTCTCTCACCAATGGACAGATCAACGAGAAAAAATAAACAAAGACACTAGAGCCCTAAATAAAGACATAGTACTCATGGGCCTAACAGATATCTATAGGGCACTGCACCCAAAAAAATATAAGTACATATTTTTCTCAAGCATGTATGGATCATTCTCCAGAATCGATCACATACTGGGCCACGAGACAAACATCAACAGGTACATGAAGATCAAAATCATTCCAACTACCTTCTCTGATCATAAAGGCATCAAACTAGAAATAAATCATGAAAAGAAAACAAGGAACCCTCCCACTTCATGGAGATAAAAATTCACACTACTGGAAGACCACTGGACTAATGAGGAGATCAAAGAAGAACTTAAAAAAATATTTTGAGTTAAACGACAAGGAGGACACCAATTTCCAGAATGCATGGGATGCAGCAAAAGCAGTAAGAGGAAAATATATAGCAATGCAGGCTCACATCAAGAAACAAGAAAGAAATCAAATAAACTTAATTTCACATCTCAAAGAACTAGAAAAAGAACAACAAAACCTCCTAAAGCCAGTAGAAAAAAGGCAATTATAATAATCAAAGCAGAAATAAATGAAATAGAAATTAGAAAAACAATCCAAAAGATCAATAAAACCAAAAGTTGGTTCTTTGAAAAAATAAACAAAATAGACAAACCTCTAACCAGGCTCACAAAGAAAAAATGGGGGAAAACACATATAAATAGGATTATAAATGAAAGAGGAGAAATCACAACAGACTCCACTGAAATCAAAAGAATAATCAGGGCCTCCCCGGTGGCTCAGTGGGTTGAGTGCAGCACTGTGAAGCTGTCCGCAGCCTTTGCAGCACTGGTCCAATTCCCAGCCGGCCAGCGAGATTCCCAAATAGCGTAGCAGACCTCTCCTATCTCGCAGCTGCTCCCCTCAGCAGTGTATTTCGGTCATCTGTCTGTTCTGCTCCCCACTCTGTCTCTGGTGAATCCTCTCACCTTCCCATGTCTCTGACCTGCACCCCAGCTCTTGTATAAAAATAAATAAATCTTAAAAAAAAGAATAATCAGAGATTACCTGGTTCTCGAATGTGGACTTTGGTCTTGGATTCCTGAAACCCAAACAATAAAGTAGCATGAATGAATTAGCAATCATTTCTTTACATTGACAAAGTACCTCTGGGAGCAGCTGGAGACGTAGGGCTTAGAGAGAAGACAATGAGAGGCTGCGGTGACGATGCTGGGGCACCTCAGGCAATTGGCTCATCTGCTTAGTCAGCACAACTGGTACAAACAAGTCACAAATAACAGAAATCCCAGTGAACCAGCATTGGCGTATGACGTAAGATCTAGATCAGAGTAACAGTTTAGCTCATGCTCGTTTCTGCACTTAACATTCCCTGAGTGGTCACTGTGAGCAAGCACTGCGCCTCCTGCATGACAGAAGCCGTCCAGTTTCATCCTCACCCCACATGGGGACACCATTACAGCTGAGGAAATACTCAGGACATGCAGTATGAGTCACCGTCCCCTCAAAACAATGTCAAAACAAAACAAAGTAACTAAGTTCCAGGTTATAAAGCACCCAGGACAAACAGACCCCAAATTTTACATCTCAACCAACAGTATTGCAACCTCCAAAACCTGACTTTTCTAGAAGTGTCAGAAATCAAACAAAAAGTGCCCCCTCCTTCATTATTCCATGCTATTCTTCACCACTCTCACCCCCTCTATTTTGTAAGTTACTTTTCTCTCCCCAGTTTTATTTATACTTCTCATTTCACAGTACTTTTCTCATTGCAATCCCCTTCCACATACCTTATGAGAACACCCTACGCTTTTATTTACCTTCCTTGGAATTTCCTCTTCAAGGACATTTTGGACTTCATCTGGGGCTGTGGGCAACTTGACAGTTAACTTGAATGTTCCTTGTCCAGGCCATACTAACTCATGGTTGTCTCTCTCCAGGACTCTCTGCCGAACTGAAATTTAAAAAATTTAAAAGCCAGTGGTCAAGCAATCTTCATTCATAAAATTATCCCATGATTTCCATGGGTTTCATCATCATAAATCAATGGCTCGGTCATTTTCCAAGAGAGGGCTTGTGTAGCAGAAAGAGAAATATTTAGCAAGCAGACACAGATTTCAATTCCATCTTTATAGTTATCATTTTTAATTGTGAGCATCTTTCTTAATAAAAATACAAAGTCTGTCTTCCTGTCTAATTGTAAGTAGTTAATGAAGATTGTTTTGCATGTGTGTTCAGTGCAGAAATATAATAAAGAACTTAGTACATTACCTGAGGTTATTAGGTACCCAGAAAGGTAGCAGTATTTATTCTACAGTGAAGAACTAAGTATTTCTCATGCTGAGCCAGTAGATTGGGGTTGGGACACGGTGATGGAGGCCACAATTTGGGAAAGTGTCGGGGTACAATGTTTAACAGCCTAGAGTTGTGTCAGTCACCTGTGATAGTAAGGGACTCACATCTGAGAGTAAAAGGAGTAGAAAAGAAGAGATGGGGGGGGATTTCACGAAAGGAAAAAAGAATGAGCACATCTGGGCTGCAGCGAACAAACTGACCAGTGGATAGGAGAGTACAAAAGCCTGCATCTGAATTCCAACTCTGCCATGAACTTGCTGAGTGACACTGAGAAAAGATCAAAACTTCTCTAGAATTTGTTCCCTCACGTAAGGAGGTATTTCTGACCTATTCTGTTACACCCACAAGAGAGATGCGAGTGAAAGTCAGAGAGAGAAGAAAGGGAAATCAGTGTGTCTCAGACAGTGGAAAGAGGGAGCAGGTGAGTGTGGAAACAGAAGTGAGACCAGCATAGTCAGGCGGCTAAGGAGGTCAGGGTGAAGGGAGCCAGTGAGGGTGCCCTTGTGATTCACGGGTGCAGCTCTGCCCTGAGTGTGAGGTCACCAGATTATATTGTGAAATGGTGACCTGATGGGGCCAAAGACGTACACACGAATCTTTCAAGAGGGCCTTGAACAGTTTTCTCATCTCAACTATCCACAAAGGGGTGGAAGAAGGGAAGCCTTCACCAGCCGGATGCCAACTCAGAAGCTGGCCCAGAAACAATATGAGAAAAAATGCCAGACTCCTGTTTCACTCTTCATGAGCGAGTGGTTGCTTCACCTTGGACTTCTGAGGAGCTGTCCTAAGTTAGAATGAAGACTGAGGGCTAGATAAGACCCCAAAGCCAATGAGCAAGCTGAGGTGGTGTTTATTGAAACAGCCTCCTGACCTACTGCCTGAGGAAGAGCGCTAAGGCTGAGGAAGACATTCGTCTGTTAGTAACCGACTAACAGTATTGTTTTTTAAGCCCAGTTGTCTTGAGTCATGAACTCTGTGCTACATTCCTTTTATGATTCTCTAGACTTTAGAGTCCTCTCCAGGCATCTGAATGTGCCAGCCTGTTCTGAGACTGAGTATAATACATCTGGGCAGCCCTATTTCCAGAGAGTAGATGGTGTCTCTGTACGTGATCCCCAGTGAGGAGTTGGTGAATCTGGGAGGAAAAAGAGATGAAACTCTGCTACCAGTCTCCTTACCCAAGTGGACAGTCTGCTTCTGCAGCCAGCACCTCCGCTGCATTTTATTTAAAGAAAAGCTGGGTTCTCTTGCCCCATCTGACAACAGTCAGGAGGAAAATGAAAGCGAAAAGGGTGATAAATGTACACATTTGAACAGGATTTCAATTTATACACAACTTTTCAGAAATTCAGTGAACTGCAGTTAAAAATATTTCAACTACCTCTTTGTTCCTGTTTTTAACATGTGTTTCTACAGACAAGTGCTATGGGGCTCCTTTTCATTAAGTGAATCATAGAAATAAAGTCATGTCATGCTGTGGACTTGTGCCCGTTCTGGCATGGAGGATGGTGTCCTTTTTGATCCCTGCCTGGACCACTGCTACTGTTCTTAGGGCCTTGGAAGCCTCTTTGTCTCTCTTCTGGGCCCTGCTTCTCAAATCCTGTGACAGGAGAGCAGCACCAGCCTTGTATAAATCCCTGCCTATGGGCGCCTCCCTCTGGGGCAAAGAAAATTCATGGTCCTTACCCTGTCCATACAGGACCCTCTATCATCTCAAACTATCTCTTAGCTTTGATTTCCTCTATACCTTTTCACAAAAGGGAGGTTTAACAACAGAAGGTCTGAGATTTTAAAATATATATAACTGCCCTCTGACATCTGACACCTTTTCCCAGACTCCACTCATTCTTGCCCTCCAGTTTGCAGACCCTGCCAGCAGGTGCACAGGGACAAGCAGAGGACTGATTATTCAACCACACTGTGGGCTCACAGACCCCCTGCTTCCCTGAGAAAACCTCACGCTTCCTGCACTTGCTCGCTTCCTGCACTTGCTCATGCAGCGCTCTTCTGTCTGAAGGGCCCTCCCTGAAACCTTGCCCACCCCGAACTGAATTCACCTCCAAGGAGTCAGTTTTCATGTGATTTCCTGGAACTTTCTCTTCCCTTAAGGCTCCCATAAACCTTTGGAGTTCTAAAATTGCAATGGAACCGAAACCTTGTTTCCTACACACTATACCATCAATGTAAAATGAGGTGGGTGTTTATTTAGAACACCATCTCGTAAAATGAGGTGGGTACTCAGCTTTCAGTCAGCTCCTTTCTGTTCTACCACGTGGTGCAGAAGCTGCTGCCACTTCCAGGCAGCCCTGGAGCTCCTAAAAGCGGGACTCAAACGCTGGGGAAATCTCCCGCGACCTACTCCACATTCGGACTCCTAAGTCTGTGGAGGGATTCCCAGCCACAGCCACAGCCTAGTCCCAGTGCCAACCCCAAATTTCCCCTAGAGGAGGAACCCGGTTGATCCCTCTTTTGCTCATCCCTGGAGCCCTTTACCGTCGTCCGGGAAGAAGAGCACCGTGAAGCGGGGAGGGCTCCCGGGTTCCCGGCGGATCTCGCATTCCCCGCCTCCCGACCTCTTCGAGCTCTGGAAGTACAGCTGCAACTTGGTGCTCAAGTTCTTCGGGGGATCCGGGCCCCAAGAGCCTTCTACCAGCAGAGGAAAGGAGCCGGCTGTAGCCATCTTCAGCTCTGGGTCTTGATGCCTCTTTCGGCTGTAGCCATCTTCAGCTCTGGGTCTTGATGCTTCTTTCGCTTTCGTTTCTTTGAAAACTCCCTGCCTTTAGTTTCTGCTTTTGGCTCTAAATAGCGGCCCCCAGTCTTCGCCTGCATCTCTGCCCCGCGGCAGTGGCTGCCACCACCACTTGAGGCTTCTGACCTCCCCAACTGTGTCCAGGGTCTCTGCTACTCACCCAGGACACCAGCTGCAGTCAACAGCTTTGGGTCACTGCACCTTGCACAAACACAGAGACTTCATTTTTGCTGCATGCCAATACTGTGCAAGAATAGTAAATGGCTCAGCCCAGTGTGACTTTTTAGATGGCTGGAGGCTCATTGGGTCATCTTTCAATTATTATGAGATTCTTATCTTGCCTTTTGTTTTTGCTTTTTGTTTCCTGATCTGCTAATGTTATAAGTCTAGAAATTTGAGGGAGTTGGGGGGACGAAGGGAAGACCTTTACAGGTTTTTATGAAATATTTGTTAGGTGCCATCACTTGAGGTGAATTCAACAGGCAGAGTCCCTTGCTGCCACTGCCCTCATGAAGCTGTGGGACAGAATAGTTAGGACACTGTAGAATAACTGCCTTTGGAAGGAATACAGGTGTCCCTGGAGCAAATTAGGAGGCCATCCTGGCCCAGATGAGGGGACTCTAGTAGGGTGACGTATGACCTGAGGACTAGGGCTGATGGGGGGGTAGCCTTCAAGGTTGATAGAGGGGAGTTCCATGAAGTGATCTGCTTGTACAGGGTCCCCCTGACTGCTGTGTCCTGGCTAGAGTACAGGCAGGGAGAACAACCATGTGGGTGCTTAGTGTTCCAGATGAGAGATGAGGGCAGCTGAGACCAGGATGCTGGCAGAGGAGTTCTGAGGAAGGGTGGGATTTCAAATCAGTGTCGAGGAACAGGTGCAAGATTTGCTGAAGGATGTAGACAGTAGGTGAAGATGCTTAAGGATGACTTCAAGGTGATCCATGGATGCCCTGAGCGACTGGCTAGTGGCATCCACCAGATGGGAGCAGCAAGAGAGGCTAGGAAACTATCTTTGGCCCATGATAAAAGAGTGTTTCAGTGAGAAGTAGGGAACGTCATTAAATATTATCAGTGTCTACTGGAGTGCCAGGGACCTGACATACACTGTCTCCTGGTAAGGAGGGAGTTGAAGGGCGTGTTAGAGGACAGAGGACTGATAGGAAGAGAAGGAAGCGGAGGCAAGTGTGTCTGTGAAAGCAAGAAGGAGTTAGGCGGCCACATGGTTATAGAATCAAGGAGTTGTTATTTTTGTTTTCTGGCTTGAAAGTTTTTTAAAGTTGGAACAGTCTAGGCATGTGCAATATTGGTAGAAAGAAGTGAAAGAAAAGTTGGAAGATCCAGGTTGTGGAGAAGATGGGACAAGAGGCTGCAGGTCGTAGCCTCAGGAGGAGGCAGACATTTTTCCCAGGGCACCAGAACCCAGTGGAAAGAGAATAACACAAGTAGGTAATTCTGACTGACTGTGGTGAGAAGGTGTGGGAATTCTCCCCGAAACAATTGTTTTCTCTTTGAAGGAGATTATGCTGTTTCTGACTCCGCTAAAAGTCAGGCTGTTCCCCCACCTTCCGTGTTGCCTCATAATGACCATAAAACTACATTTTCAGATGGAGTGAGCCCTCTGGGTCAGAGAGTTTACAGGGCTTTTATCCCTCATCCATAGTACAAGCACACAAAGATACCTCATTTATTGTGCTTTCCTTTATTATGGTCCGCCAATATTGCCCTTTTTACAAACTGAAGAACTTGCTTGGAGCAAATCCATTGATGCCATTGTTTCTCATTTCATGTCTCTGTATCACATTTTGACAGTTCTCACACTCTATCAAACCTTTTCATCATCATTGTATCTATTATGGTGATCTGTGATTAATGTCATCTTTAATGTCACTTTTGTCTTGAGATAACATGGGTTTACAACACTGTTAATGGTTCTATTGTAATTGTTTTGAAAGTAACTGCAGATGGGCTGGAAATAGTAAGAGAATCCAGTCAGAAGTGAGCCTGAAGATATGACTGATGTGTTGCAATTTCATGATCAAACTAATGGAAAAAGATTTGCTTCTTGTAGATGGAAGCAAGTGTTTCTTGACATGGAAACTTCTCCTGGTGACGGTGCTGTGAACATTATTGAAGAAACAACAAAAGATGTGAAATATTACAGTTGGCAAGCAGCAGCAGGGTAGGAGCAGGTTGACTCCAGTTTGGAAAGCAGTCCTACTGTGGGCAAAATGCTATCAAAAAGCATTTTGGTGTGCTACAGGGCGATCTCTGCTGAAAGGAAGAGTAAAGAAAGACATCATGGTTGCCTTATTTTAGTAAATTGCCACCCAGCATTCAGCAACCACCACCCCGACTCATCAGCAACCATCCACACCAAGGCAAGAACCCCCACTAACAAAAGAGATTAGGATTCACCGAAGACACAAGTGATGGTGTGAACCTGCTTGAGTTGATGATTGGAGAGGTCACTTTGTCATCACGAAGGCCAATATCTCAGAAACACGGAAAATGGGGAATTGGAGAGATAAAAAGAGCCCAGGTCTTGATGGCAGCAAGTACAGAACCAACCCTTGAACCAACTACCTCCAGATTTCTTGTTAAGTGGGTCTCAGTAAAATCTTTTTTGCCTAAGTTTTTTTACTTAGGTGTTCAGTTGCCTACAGCTGAAAGCATTCTATCTGATCTTCTCAAATAACTTTTTCAAACTTAATTTGGGTACATCTCTTGTTAACAGAATATAGCTGGACTTTTCAAATCCATTTCTTAAACCCACATGGCGCTGCAGACCTCTCCTGTCTCACCCGCTGCTCTCTTCAGCAGTGCTTTTGGTCCGTCAGCCTGTTCTGCTCCCCGCTCCATCTCTGATGAATCCTCTCACCCTCCTGTGCCTCTGGCCTGTACCCCAGCTCTTATATAAATAAATAAATCTTTAAAAAAATACATTTCAGGATAATTCACTACTAGTCCATTGGTCTTAGTCCAACTAGAGATATTCCCTAAATCTGTCCATTTGCCTTTACCTATATACATATTTATAGTTCTTTTATAGTTATGTTATAATTATAACTCTTATAAAGCTATGATTATAACTATTTTATAGTTATAATTTTTTTTAAAGATTTATTTATTTATTTATACAAGCACTGGGTACAGTCAGAAGCGCGGGAGGGTGAGAGAATTCACCAGAGCCAGAGCGGGGAGCAGAGCAGAGCAGGCAGAAAAACCGAAGTACACTGCTGAGGGGAGCAGCGGGTGCCAGGAGAGGTCTGCGCGCCATGTGGGACCCTCCTCCGGAGGCCAGGGAGCAGCCAGGGATCAAACCGGCGCTGCAGAGGCCGCGGGCAGCAGCCTCGCAACCTAGTGCCCAACCACTGCGCCACGGGGGAGGCCCCTATCATCTTTTAGTGACTAGAGTATATCATTTTGATATGCCATGGTTAGCATCTGTAATTCTGTATTGTTGGTATCTTAACTTTGTTCCAGTGTTTTGCTATTAAAAAATAAACATTACCTCTGTATACTTTTTTTCTTATTAAAGTTTATTTCTTTAGGATAAATTTTATTACTTTGTCAGGAGTTAGGCATATTTATGATTCTTTCAATAAAATACCACTGTGCCCTTCAGAAAGACTGGATCCATTTATATTACAATCATTTATATATGAACATATCAGTTTTCCTGAGGTCTTGTGGGCTTTGGGCTTTATCACTTTTTAAAATTTCTTTCTCTCTTTTTTTTTTAGGTACAAGATGAAACTTGACAGTAGGTTTAATTTGCAATTATTTTACCAGTAAATTTTATTGAATATTTAAAAAAATCATGATTTAAAATCATGCTTCTTGTATGAGCTGGCTTTTTACTATCACTTAATGGAAAATTGGGACTTTACCCATTTAAATGAACTATTTTTCCTTTTTTTAGTTATTAAATTTTTGCATTCATGTGCAAATACTTTTTCCATTCTTTTAAATTTTTAAATCTCAGTTTTATTGGTATTCATTCCACCAAGCCTGAAAGTAATGAACTTGTCCATCTTTTCTTCCCTAGAGCTAGTCTGTTCATACATGTGGGAGTATACTTATTTTGAGTTTTAAGTATTTAACTTTCAATTCACCTAGACTTTTTGGAGAGTATGATGGGAAAAGTGGGGATTTTTATATTTTCATTATTGATAGTCTTATATATCAAGGATCTCCAATTGGCTACCAGTACATTTTAATGTCTGCTAACAAATTCCTTCTCAAAATCCTTTTGAATCAGGAATACTATTTTATGTTGCCTGATTATTTTCCCATATCAAATTACATTAATTTTATGAAATATTTCTAATCAATTTTATAAACATTTCTGGTCAACGAAATCAAATATTGAATTGAGACTGGTAAGACCCAGCCTCATTTTTAATCTTGGCTCTTCAGGTTTTTCAGCAGAAATCTCCTTGGCAAATCCAGAATTCTAATTGTTTCTTAGAAGATTTTGGAAGACTCTGCTTTTGGAGTTTTTCTAGTTCTACTTTTAGACATTCCACCTCCTGCATCCATAGAATTTGACAGATATTCTGAAGAGACCACCCAAATCTCCTCCAACAACACTGCTAATTTGTCTCCCAGCAGCCAGCCTCCATGGGTGCCAGACCCAGGATCAGTAAATGACCCCCGGATCAGGTAGCTGCAGAAGTTAGCGCTCCCTCTCCAAATTTCTCCTTCTCTGGTGCCTGAGTTCCTCCAATTCTCATTGATTCAGCAACTCTCCTCTGCTTTAAAGAGGATAATTTCTCTATTTTGTTTAAGTTTCTGGTTGTTTCAGGTGTGAGTGCTGGTCTCTCATAGCTAATTCATATCACTTGAAAACAGGAGTTTATTTCACTTTAAACCTTCATTTTATCATCTTTTATTTCAAAACCAAATATTATTTCTATTTGATGTATTTTTGTAGGGGAGGAAAAATCTCTTTCTTTACCCATCTTAGGTTCTCGA